GGTGCTCATTTAAACTTTAAATTTACAGCGGACACTTATGTTCGTCATTAATTAGTGACGAAATCGCGTCCGTCGTTAATCTTAAATCCCTAAAACGTACCAACCTTTTTTTTTCCTCATAATTTTCCTAATTTCCCTCTCCTCCTCTCCCTGCCACCACAACCACCACCCTATGCCACCCCACTCCCCGCCTAGCCCACTCATTCTAATGGGATGCTCCTCTTTTCCCAAAAACCATATTGAAACTATTGCGGTAGTCTCTCCTCTTCCTCCTCTCCTTTGTTAGTTCTCTCTTTTATTTTTTTTAATGGGTTTAAAATTTATAAATAATATCGGAGAAAGCTCCTTTTGTGGCTAAGGTTAAGAAGAGAAAGACTCGAATACAATAAGGACATGACTTCTTGCATAAGAATGGTATACTTTCTATTGTTGATAACCTTATATTTTAGAAGTTGTGCTTTTATGAAGCATAATTGTTGACTTGTAGTTTGTTATGGAAATGATTGATTTCTATTGGGTGATTCTAGGCTAGAGGAAATGCTAATGATGACTCTAATAAGTCCAAATCAAAAGTGAATGATGAGGATAAAAAAGACGAGAGTGATGGGGATGTAGGTTTCAAATCAAAATTGGATTCAAACTTGTATTATTTGTTTGAGGGTTTTCTTAGAGTTTTGTGTTAATTATCTTGTTTGGTTGTTGTTATGCAAGAGGCAGATAATGATGAGTAAGTCGATTAGAAGAAGTAGCTAAGAATACAAGGAATGAAGTATTGGGCAATTTGGTATAAAATCATTTAGATTATAATTACTTGCATTTCTATCTCTTAAATAATGGTTCCTTTTTTAGTAGTCGATTAAAACTAGCTTAGGACAAAAAACAAAGGATTAGTTTCAAAAGCCGATGCCTTAGAGCTCATGATGTTATGTACTTATTAAATCTTTTGATGTTCAATGAAGTAGTAGTTTGGTTTTTAAAAATCATGTAGGTTCTCTTCAATTGTGTTAGTCTGTTTATTTGTCCACGACTTGTGAAAATCTATATAAATAATTATTCATTCAATCATATACTCTTTTGGTCTCGTACTTTATATTGGGTTAGTTAGCTATGGAATAACGTCGCATTGTTTGGTGGGAAAACGATGATTCCGAGGACCAATTAGAGATGAAATATAGAGATTTAGCAATGAAAAAATGATCACTAAGAATGATGAATGTGTTATGTTTTAATAAAAAAATATGAATTTATGTATAATTGTTTAAGTTTTATGAATGTTTTTATGAATATGAGAGATAAGAATATTAAGAATTATTACTTCGTAACTATTTAAGTTTTATGAGCGTTTTTATGAATATTAGAGATAAGAATGTTAAGAATTATTACTTTGTAACTCGTTTATGAACAACATGTTAAAGTTATTTATAAATATTGAATAATGAAGAAAAATGTTTTTAGAATTTAATGATGAATTGTTATAATGATGTTGAAATAGAGTAAGGATGAAATTTTAACAAAACGCTTCCACAATGTTAATGAGATGAATACATGATTATATTATTGATGAAATATTTTAATTGATATGTTTAATGATGAATTTAAATTAGGAACAAGGCTAACCGATAATGAAAGAATATAGATTTCGATAGCGATCCGTCCATCCGTGACCTTTCGGGTAACACGTCTTGGGCGACGAAATTTACATATTTGCTTCTTCTTTATGTAATAGAATTTTATCGAAGTCAATTATATAGTAGTTTTTATTTTATTCTATTAACTTTAAATTTATTTAACGTATATATATACACTTAATAAGTTCGGAATGTGTAGTATAAAACAATATGCGTGTGTGTGTATACATATATATAAGAATTATCAGTTTTTTAGAAATTAACTATGCGACACATAAAATCAACAATTTACCATTAATGTTTTTTTGGATATTTTAAATTTTTTTCCTTTCAAATAAAATAATTAAAGTAATATTTTAAAAGAACCATTTAATGATTCAAATATAGTTTTAATGCTATATTATTTGTTATTTTGTCACTTAATATATATACAAATTAAATATACGTGCTTTAAAAAAATCTCACCATTAGCATTAGATAAGAATAAAAAATTATATTTATATTTGTTAATTTCTAAACAAGTTTTTATATTAATTATTGGTTTTTTTTTAGACAACCTTATGGAAAAGATATTAAGTTTTTTTTTAAAAAAAATTAGATTTAATTTTCTATTTAGATTGTTGGAGGTTCTTATATAAGAATCAATGTGTACATAATAACAAATCATGTTTTTTTTTAATTGAAAAATTATGGAAAACATAAAGAACAATAAATTAAATACAAGATTTTTATTAAAAAGTTATTATATTATATATATATATATTTTTACCTTTGATTTGATATATTTTAGTAGATTTGTAATATAATATGAGGTATCAAATTAAAATAATTTGGTTTTAAGGGCAGAAACTAGTTGATAGCTAAAATTAATAATAATAAAAAAAAGACTTTGCCAAAAGCATTTAACATCAAGTAGTTCTTATAATCCCATAAAACTTAATCGTTTAATTTTCACTACTCAAATCCTTAGTCACCGATAGATTATAAATAAATAAACAAAATCTATCTATTTATTTTCTTTAGTTTTAATGGTAAATGGTTTTGGGATTTTACCTTTTGTAAAAAAAAAAAAACATATATTTACTTTATAGTGCATATTATATTATTTAATTGGATGCCTTAGAACGATCGATTAATTATTAATTAATTTAGTAATCATTGACATTTCTTAAGATCATTTACTCACTCTCTCCATTTCTTATATATATGTGTTTTTTTTTTCAAACAAACTTATAAGACAAAAGATGAGAGTCAATAATTACAAAAAACACTAAAACATATGAGTTTTTTTTTTTTTTTTTTTTTTTTTTCGTTCATAGATTGTTCACCCATACTCGAATTTATTGTGGATCAAGACTCAATATTACTATGCTGCACTTCTCCTTGCATTTCGGTCGTTGGTTCTTTGTTTTGTTTCATCTCCTTCGTTGGTTTCGAAGTCCATTCTTTTTCTCTTGCACTTGTCTTTTTCTCAATTGTCAATTTAACATTCTTAAATTATTTGCTTAATTGCTATTGTGCCATTTATTGGTGATGTCAAGTTATGTTCTTACCTTGCTTTCCTTTTTTGCCTTCCCTGTTTTTTAGCTTCCTCCTTAATTGGACGGAGCAATTAATGCTCTATTGTGATGCTTTTGCTACATGAGTTTTTCTCTTTGGAATAAATATATTGCGAGTTTAGTTAGTTTTATTTTATTTTATTTTTTATTTTTTTTTGTTTTGGTCCTTACATTTCAAATATATTTTTACTTGGTTTCTTGAATTTTAAAATGTTTAAAATGACCCTAAACTATATATGATTACGTTGAAATATATTTAATAGAAATTAAATATTTTTAATAGAGAGTGGATATTATAATAGTTAGCAAGATTTAAAATTGTGTTAGTTAATGAGATAACTTTATATGGTTACCCAAAATAGAATATAAATTTTTTTATTAATTCAAAAATATTTAAAATGATCCTAAACTATATATGATTAATTTGAAATATATTTAACAAAAATTAAATATTTTTAATAGATATTAGATATTGTAATAGTTAACATGATTTAAAATTGTGTTAATCAACGAGATAAATTTATATGATTACCCAAAATAGAATCTATTTTTTATTTATTAATCTTGGTGCATATTTAGGGGTATTAATTATTGTATTATAAAAATTTAGTTTAAAATATTTGTCTTTCATGTTTTATATTTTTGAATTTATGTATTATAAGAATAACCAACCAATTAGTGCTAACATTATTGATTATATATATATACTTTCAAAAACAATCTTCTTATCAATATTAAATAAGAATAATTTTTTTATTATTTATTTTTTATACAAATCTATACATTAATTGTAACTTTATTTTTTGGATGTGTTTTTATTAAAAATATTTTTTAAAGTATATATATTTTTTAATCCTTGATTAATATTCCATTTTAACTTATTATAAGTTTTTATTTGAAAAAAAATGCATTAAAAAATCTTTTTCACAATACTATTTTGATTTCAAATCCAATTGGAGTTTATGAGAGGGTATGGATAATTAATTGGAAGATACAAATGACATAAAAACTAATCATAAAATGTTTTAGCCTCGTCGGGTTGCTTGATAACCATTTAGATAATGGTGCAAACCGTTCATTTTCTGATCTTGGACATCCATTTGTGTCAAATTAAAAGCAAAAGCAAAAGAAAAAAGATTTATGTCCTTCGAGCCTTGAGGAACGAAATGCTGGAGCGGGCTTCCTTGCCATATACTTACTAAACGTCTTTCTTTCTTACACAGTGCACAAAATTCCCAAATTTTACCAAATTCATTAAAAATTTCCTTCGTTTTTTTTTCAAAATTAATTTCCTTCTATTTTTTCAAAAAACCAAACTTCCCCGACAAGCTGCCAACGCATACCCCCCCCCCCCCAAAAAAAAATAATCGAAAGGGCAATTTCGTAATACCAATGTTTAAGTTCCGTTCAAATTCAATGCAAAGCTCCCCATCGTCTCTCCAACCTCCATAACAAAAACAAAAAGAAACAGTCCACCAAGGGCGTTTGAGTAATACTAGCAACTCTCTCTCGATTTTTTGCGCCTACAAAACCAAAAAAATCCACATTTTGATCCCCAAAAATAAAGTCACTTTCCCCGCCAATTGTGATTTGCTTCTCTCATTTCTCTTCCCCGAATCTCTCTCTCTCTCTCTCTCTCAGACTCAACAAACCAACTCTGTCTCTACTGAAAACCCTAATTCTTCTCTAATTACCCCTACACTTCCACATTATTACACTTATACCACTCCAATTTGTCCCTTCCTCTGTACCCCTTACTTCTTCACTCGATGCTTTTGGCTAGTCAATCCAGAACTCACCGGTTAATTAATCGATGAGCAATTCAAATTCAAATCCAAGCGGTTCCGGTTTGGTTCCGAGAGGAATCGGCCTATCCAACAGCATACACTCTGAAGTTGCACCGTGTTTACCTTTGCCTTCGCTTCCGGTTTTCTGCGGCGCTTCGGATCCGGAGCTCCGGTTGTTCGACGGAACTAGTGGTAGAAATAGTAATTTCTGGTCTTTGAATCGAAATGAAATTCTCTCTCAGTCTTCCAGAATCGCTGATCTGCTTCGCGAAACCGATGTCTCATACCTGTAAGTCTTCCATATTTTTATAATAGTTTTTTTTTTTGCAGTATTTTTGTTTTTAAATTTTGAAATTCGAGTGGTAAATTTAATTTTTTTTTGGTATAGCGAAGTTTAATTTATGCTTGAACTGAATTAATTTAGATTTTACAGTTAATTTTATTTTTAAAACCTGATTTTTGTGGTAATTGGAGCGGCACGACAGTTCTTGATTAATTTAATATGATAGTTACTATAATTGTCCAGAAAATTCATGATTTAATCCGCTTATCTTTATTGTATCGATGTTATGATTTGTTTAATGCCTGTCGTTGTTGTGCAGGTCATTTAGAGATGAGACTAGGGTAACTGCGTCTGACAACGTAGAGCGGCTGGAACTTTATGAAGAGGTTCTTCGCTACAACTCTGAAGCATTTGAGTATGTTACTCCTGGTAAACAAAGTACACACTTTTGCTCTTTTCATAAATTTCTCTTTGCTAGAAATGATTCTTTTTCCTGCATAGTTGAACTGATAAATGATTTAATGCAAATATAGATGAATGCAGAAAGCTTGCGCAGCAATTTTAGGCTTGTGATAATTGTATGGAGAGATAATTGTGAACTGTGTGAATCATTCTGACAACATAATTCAAAGCCTTTAGGTGTATTTTACCGTATAAGGGTATTTAAGGTATTCAATAGTCAATTTTTAATCATTATAGTGTCAGGAAAAGAAAAGGGCGATTGCAATATGAGTCTTTGCATTGATCTTCACATTTTTCATATCGATTAGACAATTACGCATGTTTGTAGTTAGTTTACTGACAAGGTGGTTTTAATTGTTGAGATCTTAAAGTTTAGGATATGTTAGTGGAGCAAAGAACATGAGGAATATTTACCTGTGGTTTCTCTGAGGTGATTTATATGACACATTTGTTTTGTTGGAGAGGGAGATTTAAGATGTCAATCAGGTTTAGATAGATAGGGTATGGCTTAGAAGTGTTTGTCAAATGGTGTGAATTTATTGATACTTGCCAATTGAAAGAGAATTGCATGATATGGTGGTGAAACTATTTCATATTTATAGTGTATGTGGTTCTTGGTTGAATGATCTTGAGATTGAACTTCAAGGTGGGATGGGATAAGACACAGGGAGTTAATCCTATCGGTGCTAAATTTCAGAGATTATTGATTGTGCATGGTGGCTTACTTTTGTATATATTCCTGTCATGTCCTTTCTAATTCATCGAACTTGTTATGGGCTCTTTATTTATTTATGAGAATCGTTTCTGTGCATAGAATTCTTGTGAAGAAACTTGTCAGAAAATGAAAGGTGACTTCTTCCTTAGCGGTTACCTTTAGACTTTATAGCTGAAACAGTTTAGCCATAATACACCAATTGACATACGTTTAATGTGTTTCTGGCTGGTATCTGGCATTACTTTTGCCTCGGAGATGCCTGGGTCGCCTCCTATACAATGCGTTACTTAAAAAACAGAATATTCATGGGTTTGGTAAGTTGTTCATATATGTTTTGATCCATGAAGCACTTGTAATTGCTCACAAATATTCCTTTCTATGGAAATATTCTTTTAGCCTTTTTAATTAAAGCAGATGTGATGTCACTAAAAGAGTTGTAATTGTAATAGAAATGAATCACACATAATGAGACAGGGAGAGTGTCATCACTCACTCAAAAAGATATAGCAATCACTTCTCAGAAATAGAAACTGTAGCTGAAAGTACATGAAGGTGGCTTTAGAAGATGCCATCATTTGCCGTACAATTCACATGTGGATAAATGTACCATCTTTAGGTGTTTTGCATATATTATATACTATTCTCTAAACTTCTTTGCTTTAAATCTTGCATTATTTCTTACGTAACACTTAAAGAGTTGCTGTGCTTGTGGTTTATTGCATTTGTTCAAGTTTCTCAGGTAGGAGGCAAATTTCTGGAAATGCAGCATTTGAAAGCAAGTCCATTGAGCCAAGTATACCAGTTTCATTTCAAGCACAAAGAGATTATGATGGATTTCAAAATCACCAGCCGAAATACACCCCTAATGTATGCAAAATTTTGGATTTAGTTTTATGTGATTGGGTTAAATATTTATTTGTAACCTAGGGGATGGACTGCAGGACATTACCTCATCTTTGAGGAAACCGAAAGTCAAGAAAAAAGGCAGTGATGACATTTCAGCAGTGATTCAGCAAGATCCTGCTGAGCTTCAAGGTAGAGCTGCTGATGATATTTTAAACTCTTATCTCTCTTATGTATCATTCATTTTTATGGTTTTGCTGTTAACAACTTATCTTAGATGCCACGATTGGAAGCTTCTGTGATATGCTGGAAGGCTTTTGTGGAAGAGCTGAAGTTCCTGGTGATGATCTGGAAGAAGCAGAGTGGTTATCGTTGCCTGTTGGTGATATCAGAGTGCTTGTAAATGAAATAATGTCGATACGTGCAAAAAAGCTTTTAAATTTGGTCCCCGTAGAAGTTCTTGTAAGACTCTTGATGGTTCTGGATCACCAAATACATCGAGCAGAAGGCCTGTCCATCGATGAATGTGATCATGTGAGTTTCTGATTGTTTTATTTGTGCCTGACTTCTTGTAGGATGTGGCATTGCACTACATTTTATGTTGGGACGGTTCATCTGTTTTATTTATTTTTGAAGTTTTTCTTTTGGAACTTGATCCTCGTTAGCTAGTTTTAAGCTGTTGGATTTCTCCTTTTCTGGATGCAATTATAGCTTCCTTTTTCTTCACTTCTTTGGGTGCCATATACTGTTTGTGAGCCAATAAGGTATGGAGATTTTAAATTTATAATACTTGTTCTGAGTGTTATTAATTTTTTTTTTTCCATAGCAGTCTTGTGAGCTGAATCTTTCACATTTACTGCACACCTGTCTGTTATATCTTATGTGTCACAGTGTAATTTTGACCTTTCTGAGTTGGTGGGAGTTTTTTCATGTGGAGTTTTGGGATATATAACACTAAGTTCTTCAAGAAGATCTTCTAGGATCAAGTCAATAATCAATAGTGACAATTATATGGTCCATTGTACAAATGATACGCTAATTATATGATTGTGGAATTGGAATTTTATTCTGTTTCTTTTGATTAATTGTTCAAATGCTTAATAAAAGTTCATTAAGTCAAAGGCTTGAACAGCTGGCTTTCTTAATTAGAGCTATCAACCATGGCCCGTGGATTTAAAACTTCTCAATTATCATTATTTATTTATTTTGGTCAAGAGTTTTCTGGATGTACAAATATCATTATTGATGTTTTGATTTTAGATATGGTTTGATTTTTTCCCCCTCTTAAAAGCTTTGATGTGGTCCCTTGTGGGTTGATGTATGATCTTCATTGCATTGGTAGAATGATGTAATTATTTCATTTGCTTCTCTGTTGTTTCTTAATGCTGCAGTCAGATTCAGAAGTAGTCTCCTATGTTTTCTGTGCGCTGGAGTCTATTCATGCAGCTCTAGCTGTAATGGCGCATAATAACATGCCAAAGCAGCTGTATAAAGAAGAGGTGCTTCCTTCATTATATTTGTTCTGCAAATTTTTTTTTCTTAAGTGTTCTCTTTCTGCTTTGTATGTTCTTATATGTCGTTTTTCTTAAGATTTATGTGATTTTAATTCATCAAGAATGATTGGGGTATTTCCATATCAGATTATTGAAAGGATTCTGGAGTTCTCTAAGCATCAAATAATGGATGTGATGTCCGCTTATGATCCAACATATCGTGCTTTGCATAGGCCAAGTGAAAATGGGGCACCTGAAGGTAGGGATTGCATTTTCATTTAGCTGTTTTCCCTCCCTTCTTTTAACTTGCCATTCTTCAATAGTTTTTTGTTCCCTGAAAATTGCTAATATCTATGCATGTCATTTTATGAAACAAAAGGAACAAAAAAAGAAGGGTTATGAAATTTTCAAATTGGGTTTCCTTACCTTCATAGGTCTTTGTTTTCTCATATTGGTTTTTATTGATTAATAACAAATCAATTAATACCTTAGTGCATTACTCGAAGCTGAAACCTTCTGCTAATTATTCTCAGGTTATGAAGATGAAGAGCCTGATGCTGACTATGGTTCGGCCAGTAAGAGACGGCGTACGGTAAAGAGTGCAAGAGTAAAGAAGTCATCATCAAACAGGTGCTTATCAAAATTCCGTTACCCTAGTACTAAATATTATGGCAAACTTTTAGTTTTTTAGATGTGATGTTTCTCTTGATTGTTTACCATTTTTCCTTGATAGGGTCTCTGGTGCTATGAATACTATATTACAGAAACTGTGCACTATACTTGGTTTACTGAAGGATTTGTTGTTAATAGAGAGGTTATCTGATAGTTGCATTTTACAACTGGTGAAGACAAGCTTTACAACTTTTTTGGTGGAGAATATCCAACTTTTGCAGCTGAAGGCTATCGGTTTAATCTGTGGGGTAGAGCTTTGTACACTTTTCTTTTTTCTTGAGAGCTTTTGCTTGTGCATTTGTACAGGCATGCATTCTTGTATACATGTACATGTATGGATCATTGGTTTCGTCGTCTCTTAGTGTATATTTGTTAATTTTGGCACAGATATTCTATTCATACACACAGCATCGTCCATACATCATAGACGAAATAGTTCAGCTACTCTGGAAGTTACCATTCTCAAAGCGAGCGCTAAGAGCCTATCACCTTCCTGATGAAGAACAGAGGCAGATTCAGATGATCACTGCTTTACTGATTCAGTTGGTTCAGAGCAGTGCAAACCTTCCTGATGCTTTGAGGCAAGCATCAAGTGGTAATTCCATCTTAGAAATCTCTTTGGATGCTAGTTATCCAATCAAGTCTCATGAAGCAGCCACAGAGACCTGCTGTCTTTTCTGGACCCGAGTTCTCCAGCGTTTCACAACTGTCAAGAATCAGGATGCATCTGAACTGAAAGTGATGATGGAGAATCTTGTTACAGATCTACTGACAACTCTAAATTTACCGGAATACCCGGCTTCATCTCCCATTCTGGAAGTAAGATAGAATTGAATCATATTTTTCTTCCTTGCTAAAACATGATGTGTTCCATGCTAAGGGAATTTTATTTGCAGGTTCTCTGTGTCTTACTGCTTCAAAATGCTGGGCTGAAATCCAAGGACATTTCTGCCCGTTCCATGGCCATTGATTTTCTGGGTACCATTGCAGCAAGGTTAAAGCAGGATGTGCTTATTTGTAGTAGGAACAAATTTTGGATCTTACAGGAATTGAGTAGTGGGGATGATTTTGATCAGAATTACCCAAAAGATGCATGTTGTGTTTGCTTAGATGGAAGAGTGGAGAAAAAGTTGTTTATGTGTCCAGGTTGTCGCAGATTGTTTCACGCTGATTGCATGGGAATGAGAGAACATGAAGCTCCTAAACGAAGCTGGAACTGTGTGATTTGCCTCTGCAAGAATCAACTTCTTGTGTTACAATCATTCTGCAATTCACATTGCAAGGATGAGGAGAAAAAGGATAATATTCTGTCAAAAAAAAATTTGGATGCTTCAGATACAGTAACAAAATCTGAAATTGTTCAACAGATGCTTTTGAATTACCTCCAAGATGTTGTATCTGCTGATGATGCGCATCTCTTTGTTCGCTGGTTTGTACTCAATAATGCTATTTTCTCTCTGTTTAAATGGTTACATTTTTTTATTGGAGAACTGTCTGTGCAGGTTTTATCTGTGCTTGTGGTACAAGGATGACCCAAAATCACAACAGAAGTTTATGTACTATCTCACTAGACTGAAATCAAACCTTATTGTGCGTGATTCTGGGACTGCATTTTCAATGTTGGTTAGGGATTCAGTTAAGAAGATTGCTTTAGCACTGGGACAAAATAGTTCTTTCTGTAGAGGGTTCGATAAGATCCTTCATATGCTTTTGGTCAGTATAGCATCTCACTTCTTCTGTTTTTTCCTGCATTTGCAGAACACATCTTGATGCTTACATATTTCTTGTTTCTAGGCAAGTTTGAGGGAGAATTCTCCTGTGATTAGGGCCAAGGCATTACGAGCAGTAAGTAGAACAATTAATATGTTGGTCTGCCAAGCCTTTGATTGTAAATGCTTTTGTGATTATGTTGATGTAATCAAGTGGCCCTTTTTTTTATTGTGTCTTGGTATCAGGTTAGTATTATTGTAGAAGCTGATCCTGAAGTGTTACGTGACAAACGTGTACAATTGGCTGTTGAAGGCAGATTTTGTGATTCTGCAATATCTGTGAGAGAAGCAGCATTGGAACTTGTTGGTAGGCATATTGCTTCACACCCTGATGTTGGTCTGCAGGTATGCCAAATTGAACTATGCTAATTCTTGCATTTTTTTTTTCCTTTTGTTTATTACATCTGCTTCTTCTCTCTCTATATAAAATATGTTGGTTGTGTTGCAGTATTTTGAGAAGGTTGCTGAGAGGATAAAGGATACTGGAGTGAGTGTAAGAAAACGAGCTATCAAAATCATCAGAGACATGTGCATTTCAAATCCTAACTTCACTGAATTTACAACTGCTTGTATTGAGATCATATCCCGTGTCAGTGATGATGAATCCAGCATTCAGGTACTAAAGTAAAACGGAGTGAGTTCTTAAATCGTTCCTGGCACTTAGGCCACCGACTATAATTGTCTATCAGTTGTTTAACTTTCTCATGTTGCCATATGTGATTATGCCATGTACAATTTGGTTAGACCATATTATTCATTCTTTTGAAGCATAACTGGCCTTGTTGACTAATGTTTTCTATTACAACTATACTAACCTGTATAAAAAAAATCTTGAATATTGTGCTCTTTTGTTTTTATTTAAGGAATAGATTCTGAGCAAATTCCAATAGTTTGAATATTTTTCTACTTTCTTTTATAGAATACAACACATTTAGATTAAAATGCTCGTTTCCCCTATGCTATTTCTCTGTATCAATGCTTTTCTTATGTACAGGATCTTGTCTGCAAAACATTTTATGAGTTTTGGTTCGAGGAACCTTCTGGACCTCGAACACAATTTTTGGAGATGGCAGTTCTGTGCCATTGGAGGTGGCCAAGAAGACTGAGCAAATAGTTGAGATGTTGAGGAGGATGCCAAATCATCAGCCTGTTGTCACAATCATCAAGCGCAATCTAGCACTTGACTTTTTCCCACAATCAGCTAAAGCTGTTGGGATCAATCCTGTGTCACTTGCATCAGTGCGCAAGCGCTGCGAGTTGATGTGCAAGTGCTTACTGGAAAGAATACTGCAGGTATTTCTGATTATTTATATACTTATTTATTTATTTTTGATGCATGTGATTGCTTTTTTGGTTGCAAACATGATAAGAAATTTGTGTTTGGCAGGTAGAGGAAATGAATAGCGACGAAGTGGAGCTCTGCATGCTTGCTTATGTGCTTGCATTGCATGCATTTTGTGTTGTTGATCCAACACTTTGTGCTCCTGCATCTGACCCCTCTCAGTTTGTTGTCACTCTACAGCCATATCTCAAGAGTCAGGTTGTCAGAAGTTTCTTTCTGACGATATTTTGTCTATCTGTTGGCATACTTTTGGTAGTTGCAGTTATCATATCCATGCATATGGGATTAGATTTGGTTGCTTGTGGTCAAGAACTGTCTTTTATTAGTCTTCCCTTCCATCTTTTTTATTTTACTTAGGGAGTGAATTTGATCTCTACTGGCTGTATTTTGTGGTAAATGGTTGATCTTTTTTGGCGTATTTGAACACTGAATACATGAACATGCCTCTACAGTTCAAAATCTTCTGACAATTTTCCCAAAATTGAGTTACAGGTGGGTTCTCTGTTTTAAATTTTGGGGCATCATTAATCATATATAACTTGGTCTGCATTTCTCATGCCTGTAAAAAAGTTACGAACATTTGAGTGTTAATTTAGGGATGGAGGAGGGTTTGTTTAGTAGCAATTTGGAGAAATTGTTGGCTTATGTGTACAACTGTTGCTGAATGAGGTGCCATTCTTTGGGGCAATAAACAAAATCCTAGGGTTGCAATTGCTAATGTTGCACGTTTGACTTTTGAGAGGAAGTAATATCATGCAAAAATGTTTATGCTTCTGATTGCTCTAGATTTTCTACCTCAGAACATTGCTTAGTGGATATATCCTTTTTATGCAGAGTTGATATATACTAGTCTAAAATTATATGCCTGTTATATGCCTGTTCAGAGAATTTTTTCTTTTAACCTGAACCTTTGAGTCAAGTAGAACTTGATTAGTATTTTTTCTCCATGGAAACTGCATGAACATCCTCCTCCTGTGTATCTTTGCATATTTTTTTTTATCCAATGGTTTTCTTTGATTTTTTTCCCCTCATAATACTTGTGCTTCTAATGAATTTTCCTTCTGAATTTAGTTTTAGAGGCAAAAATCTTCATACTTCTTTGTACATACATCTTCTGTTTGGATTTCAGTATTTGTGGGTACCACAAATACTGAAATCTTGGAGGTAGATGTACCGGTGCAGTGATGTATTGGACATTTTTCCTGTATACTGATATTAGAGAGAGAGAAATTTGCAACTAAGCTGCTGCAATTGTATCTTTGCTCTCAGGATGAACACATTAGTCTAATTAGCTTTTGCCTGTCTCCAGGTTGATAACCGAGCTATTGCACAATTACTGGAGAGTATAATCTTTATAATTGATTCTGTTCTTCCCTTAATCCGAAAGCTGCCTTGGAGTGTTGTTGAAGAACTAGAGCAAGATCTAAAGCAAATGATTGTTCGGCATTCGTTTTTGACAGTGGTCCATGCTTGCATCAAGTAATTTCAATGTTTCCTCTCTTGCTTCTCTTCTAGGTCATGTTGCAACATTTAGTTTTGATTTGCTTGTCCATCTTGCATCAAGTAATTTCATAAATTTCTTTTCTTGCTTCTCTTTTAGGTGGTGTTATGGTATTTAGAATATAAAGTTCTTGTGCTTCAGATGTGTATGATTCTACTTTAGTGTTTTATCTCACACTTATTATTATGTGATGTGATAGCTGCTGCAAGGATTGGTTTTTAAAAACCATCTTGTCATGTGTTACTGTGCAGTCTGTTCCTATATGCATGCATCAATGCATTATGCTGTTAAATAAACGTACATGTTTATCTTGAACCCTTTTTTATTTTTTGTTTTCACACTCCTTGAGGACTATACACCTAATCAATTCTGTCATGTTTTATAGAACCAAAAAGTTCCTTAGTCTTTGTTGATGTAGATTTGGGACATTTACACATTAATGTTCCATCTATTTTTCTGGATAAAACTATTTTTTCTCTGCTTTTAATTTCCTACTCATGCTAATGTCTCTCATTGTCACAGGTGTCTTTGTTCTTTGAGTAGAGTAGCAGCAAAGGGTGCAAGCGTACTTGAGTATCTTATTCAGGTTTTTTTCAAACGTTTGGATGCTCAAGGAATCGATAACAAGCAGGTTGGTAGCTACAATTAAGGTTAATTATCTTCATCTATGTGTCTATGATTGCCAGGTCTTTATTTACATATTTTATGGCTACAACTTTATAAGTGATCCCACAAGAGAAGCTGCTACATATTTTGTTTTGTTTGAAAGTTTATCTTTCCAAGTTATCTTAAGAACTTTAGGATTTGTGGATTTTATCCTTGAAGAGGCTAATTTCATGTTTCTTCTTAAGTAGCTTAGGTTTCAAGGAAAATAAGAGTATGCCCCACCTTGTCATGCTCCTGACTATTACCTTCTATTCAAATAGCTTTTTTGTAGATTGTAAAATAAACAAGTTCCTGAAATTAGTAGAACATGAAACATAGTTTTCTCTTCTGTGTACTAAGAGCAATGCCAGAACATAGTTACCAGGAATGTGGAACGTTTGGGGCATGGTATGAGATTTGGGATCAGGGTTTGCACTTAGGTCAACCCGTGGTACATATGGGTATCGTTAACAGGCACGTTAATTCGATCCATGGTACATCTAAGAATACCTATTTGGATCGTTGTTAGATATTGAATTATATATTTTATATCTTTATCTATTCTTTGAAAAACCGAACCCTTTTTAATTGAGTTATTTTTAAAAAATTTTAATACAAGTTTGATACTCGATCCATTGTAAAAAAAATATGGTAATCTTATCTAGTTTTTAGCCTTAAAAACAATAAAAATGTTATATATTGGGCTAAATTGGAGATACAAGTGTAGGGCTAAAAGTTCTCTTTAAAAAAATTGGGTTTAATTATAGTATTGGCCCAAATAAGGTAGCTTCAAGTCTAACTTCAAGTCTAACATGGTCTAGTACGCAATTGAAACATCTACAGCCTCTTGCTCTTCAAATTTTGCGGCCACCTCTTTTGTTTTTTTTCACCATCAGACAGCAGTCTCTGTCCCTTCCTCTCTCACTATCCTCATGGCACTCTTCTCTATCCTTCTTTCACTGAGAAAGTGGGTCATCATTTTTCACGATCCAAGTTGCACACCACAACGATCGAGTACTTGAAAGTACTGCAATCCAGAATGTATGCAGGATTGCAAAATGTGGCCTTTTGGTGAAATGTGAACGAATCCAAAACGTTTGCAGTAATCTAAGAGGCAAATTTAGTTTGCCTTGCCTACCTGATTGGATTTGAGTTCAATAATGCTGATATTCTGATTTTTTTCAGAGCGTTGGTGGATTTTAATCCTATAGCAAAGCAATATCTAAAATGTCTTGCATTATCGCATTAAAATCCCATTTGTGGTGCTGCATATAGTATGTGCAGTATAATGCTGCACTTGAATTTGGCATTTGTCTGGTGGCTTTGGCCGATGGCCTTGAATGAGAAGCTGTTCTAGTTATTATGGGGACTAGGATGAAAGGATACTGAGATTAGGCACCTTGTACATGTGCATGTTGTAATGTGAGCTTTTGTTAATCCTTGTTCAGTAATTGGCACCATTCTGTTTCCCTGTTTGTGTTTTGCATATAGAGGTATAGGAGATGCTTTGCTTGACATCAGATTTAGAGCAATAAATCAGAAGAGAAAAATGAGTTCCATACTTGCACCTGGATTCTAATGAAAGTTATTTAACCGTTCGGGATTATTTTACTTTATTTTCTTCCCTGTCAGAGCTAGAAAATCTTTGGAGCTTGACATCAAACTCACAATGAGAAGTTTATATTGACTTGGCTCAATACATTGTTGTGTTACTGCTCTAGGTCTGATGCTGTTCTTGTCCATGTTTTTGCAGACAAAGGATACCATGTATTATTAGAATATTATCAGCATGTCTAATTAAGTTCTTCCTTTTTACATGCTCAAGCCCATAGTATTTGCTATCAGATATATGTTCTTGAAAGTGGGCTGGTTTTCAATTCTCTATGTATTTTGCAGCACCTAACTTAAAGATGTTGTGCCAAACTCATGATTCTACATGCAATGGGTAGTTGTCAGAATGTAACGAGAAAAACTTACTTAACTAGATTACGGTAAAACCAGGGTGAATGCCTTTCTAACCTTGCACTTATCCCTTCTCTAGTCTCTACTCTTGCTTAATTTAGTTTTACCCGTTACATTTTCCACATGCTTGATTTGCTATAGATAAAAGAATGTGTCATTGATAGAAAAGTTAATGGATGATTATGGATGGAGGAGGACAAGACATTGCTATAGATAAAAGAATGTGTCATTGATAGAAAAGTTAATGGATGATTATGGATGGAGGAGGACAAGACATTCTCCCAGCCAAATATTGAAAATTGAAGTTAAGATAATTGGATTATTTTAATCCCAGTGAATGCCAGGCAAAGAACCTGTAAAGCCTTTCTGAAGTGTGGATCCATAAAGAAGCCAGAGTAACTGTTTTGTCCCCTAAAGTAGCGTCTATATGAAATGATTCTAGGAGATTCTAGAGTTTCACTATGTTCAAACGCTTCAAACTACTGAAAACACAGCAGACCACTTCTGCTCAACTTGGTTAGTAGAGTTGCTTTGTGGCTCTGATTTAATTGATATACCTGAGACCAGTCCTTGCTTAACTGAAGTGTGAAGAGCAGTGCCCCGTACATATCTGTTGCATATTCTACTGGTTATAAATGTTATTTGAGTTCAGCTCATGTTTTGAGTGTATATTCTTCCTTTCATGAAATGATGATTAAAAGACAGGAAATATATGGAGCCAGAATGTAAATTAATACTAACTCCACCTGTAAATCACAGGTAGCGGGCCGTTCTTTGTTCTGTCTTGGATTGCTTATTCGCTATGGGAACTCTTTGCTGAATACCTCCAATAACAAAAATATCGATGTTGCGAGCAGTCTCAGTTTGTTTAAAAAGTATCTCCTTATGGATGATTTTGGTATAAAAGTCAGATCTTTGCAGGCATGTGTGCTATCCTTCTCTCTTATTAATTTCTCTGAAGGGGCCTGTGATATTAATGTCTAATCATTGAATTTTGTAATTCTTGCAGGCATTAGGATTTGTTCTTATTGCTAGGCCTGAATATATGCTGGAAAAGGACATTGGGAAAATATTGGAGGCAACTTTGTCTGCTGGTTCTCACATTCGTCTTAAGGTACTAATGTGCAAGCCTCATTTTCGTCTTTCCATTTTTTCATGGTGTACTAAATCATTCTTTTCGCCAGATGCAAGCTTTGCAAAATATGCATGAATATCTGTTGGATGCTGAAAGCCAAATGGAAACAGATAAGACTAGTAATAATGTTGCTCATCATACTGTAGAAGGGAGCAACAGTGTACCTGTTGCTGCTGGTGCAGGTGATACTAACATCTGTGGTGGTATAGTCCAACTGTATTGGGATCATCTTTTGGGAAGGTGCTTGGACTTCAATGAACAAGTTCGTCAGACTGCCCTTAAGGTGAGAACCTAGGCTTGGTATTCTTCTCCCTGTATGTGTAAAAGCTTTAGGCAAGGATGCATATCCCTGGCCTCATTCTAGTAAAATATTAATAATAATTAAGAAAGAATAAAGAAAGTTCATCTTCTAAGAAAATTTAGAAAGTAGTAGGCATAAGCATAAATAATAGTTAGCTATTTACAAGTCCAACATCAAATATATTTTTGCCACCAAAATTTAAGTGTTGTCCATGATTCATAACACTAGATGGCAAATTTCTTGGTCTGACCACTCACGAGCACCTGATTAAGGAAGCAGAATGGTTGAATTTCACTTGGGAGTTATTACTATGCTTGAGTTTTATATTTCCTGATTTGTTATCAATGCAGATTGTGGAAATAGTACTACGCCAGGGTCTGGTCCATCCTATAACCTGTGTTCCATACCTTATAGCACTGGAAACGGATCCTCATGAGTTGAACTCAAAATTGGCCCACCATTTGCTGATGAATATGAATGAGAAGTATGTTTCATGAAACAAACTTGTTTTTCTTTCCCTATTTTTTGGTTATGCAACTTACCAAAATATAATTTCAGGTATCCTGCTTTTTTTGAAAGCCGATTGGGGGATGGCCTTCAGCTGTCATTTATTTTCATGCAATCTATTGGTAGTGTTTCTCCTGAAAATCCAAACCAAAAACTCCAATCTAAGACTGCTGGGAATTTGAAGGGAAAATCTGAAGGTGCCTTCCTATCTCAAGCTAGACTTGGGGTTTCTCGGATCTACAAGCTTATTCGTGGAAATCGAGTCTCGAGGAACAAATTTATGTCTTCAATTGTGCGAAAATTTGAAAATCCAAGATGGAGTGATTCGGTGATTCCATTTTTAATGTGAGTTGTCTGTGATGCAGATCCTAGATTTCTTTACCTGCAGTTTGGTATGATATTTTATAAATTGTTTTCTTTTTAACAGGTACTGCTCAGAAATACTTGCTTTGCTGCCATTTACTTTACCCGATGAACCCCTGTATTTGATTTATGCTATGAATCGAATTATTCAAGTAAGAGCAGGGGCACTTGAAGCAAATATGAAGGGGTTAATCTTACATTTGTCCCAAAGAAATGCTCGAATGGTTTGTGAAAATGGGGTAATTCAAAGGGAATTCGCAGAGCCTGTTTCCCATCACGTGGACTTGAATGGCACAATTCAACTAAAGCCAGCTGGTCAGCCAGAATACAGTCCTTTGAGATCATTTGATCTGAATGGAATAGTTCAAGAACAGCCTGCTAATAATCCAGTTCTGAACTCTGGTACCTCAAGATATACAAAGATGGAGTATATGAGCTCTAGTGAATCCTTAGGCATCTCCAAAGATGATGTGGAGAAAATTCAGGTACTTCTGAAATCAGATGATTTTCCTTGAAGTTAAAATATATTTCTTCCTGGGATGGAAGGATAGAGGATCTTAATTCTAATGAAGAATGGATCAATATAGGACCTCATTTTACTGCCTTTTTGTTTATGGTTTTTGCCCTCATTACGTGTCCAGTGTTTGGGAGTGTTGTTATGACGCTAGCTTTTAGGTGGCTTGCACTATGACTTATATGGGATTGCGGAATAGCACATGCCATTTTTTAATGCTATGCTGTTCGTTTGTCTCTGAATGCATTTGTTTTGGAACAAATACAAGATGAGAATCCTTAACTTCACATGCCTATTACTGCTTCTAAGTCGTCTGTGTGTTCATTATACAGGTTGACTGTCTTGCAGCAACTGCATTGCAGCTTCTTTTGAAGCTCAAGAGGCACCTGAAAATTGTGTATAGCCTTAATGATGCCCGGTGCCAGGTAAAAACTGTGCACATTTGGTTTCTCTCATTACTTTGCGCTACAGCATCACGTATCTGCCACTAAATTGACATGACATATCTGCCAGGCTTTTTCTCCAACTGAACCCCCAAAGCCAGGAGAGCCCCTCTTAAAGCAGAACTTTCCTTTTGACATCAGTCAAACATGCACCAGTGTGCTGTCCACGTATCAAGATTTGGTTCAGAGATATCAGGTAACTTGAACGTCAATGACAAGGTCTAATGGCTTGAATTTTGGGCTATAAATGGTTTGTTATTGTACAGGAATTCAAGGGCGCCTTAAAGGAGGATACGGTTGATTACTCAACGTACACAGCGAACATCAAGAGGAAAAGACCAACCCCAAGAAAAGTGAAAGCTGGACATATGATGGGAGATGACGACGATGACTATGATGATGAAGATTGGGCAGGTGGGGGTCGGAGGCTAGGTAGTGGCAGGAAAGGCAACAGCAGTAGAGGAGGTAGGTACCGACAATAGTTTTGTAAATATAAAACAGGGTAGGCTAACACATGTACATTATTATGTAGGAGAAAGGGATAGCAATAGTATAGGATGACAGCAAAAGATTAGAATTCTGGAAACAGAAGAAAGCAAGCATGAAGGGTCTTCATATGAGGACTCTGGTAGTGAGGCAGTTCCTCTAGCTATTTCCATTTTGTAATTTGCTTGACAATTGTGACTTCATTCTTTGCTTTCAATGAAATTCAAGAATCCTGCATTGGTTGCCCAGTAGTTGTGGGTGTTTCATGACTTTGTGTGGAAACTAGTCTTTTTTTTTTTTTTGATGTACGAGTAGTTGAGAGAGAGAGAGAGAGAAATTTGGGATGCAAGAGTTGGTTGTAAACAGGAAGCTAGAAAGTGTGCATCCATTTTTCATAGCCTTTCCATGGAATGGAATCATAAGAGCTTTTTCTTGTTTTCTTTTGCCAAGCTTTTCTTTGTATGAGAATTGATGTTTTGCTTCCTTGTGCTGGATTAATGTTCTCGGGTGCTGATGAATAATACTGGATCTGGTTGATCTCCAACTTTTGCCATCTGACGATCTCAAATCTGTTATCCTAATTGCTATGAGTGAGTTATAACGAAATATTTTTGGGGGGAGTTTGTGTTTATAACATGCTTCTGCTAAAATCTGAAGCGCTGTGGATGTTTTTGACTGTATGCTCTCAAACGCTTGTATAATGATCAAGGAATAAAAATGCTGCATGCTTCCATCCATACTTACACGCACGTGACTATTACGTTCGATAGCTCGTTTTCATTTTAATTAAAAAAAAAAAAAATTGGTTGACCGAAAATCTCGGAGCTCTCTTTACCCTTCGTGTTTAAAATGTTCGGTCAAGGGAGATGAGCGTTCTTAATGTTTAGGTTGAAAAGGTTCAACCGATTCTTGAAATTAAGCACGTACAGCACAGCCTGAGATTTTCAAGCTAATATGAGGACAGCAACAGCTTGTTACGCAGCCACAGAAAAATCAGATGATCGTAGGAGACCCGATTTTTCATTTTAGTTCAGACTCTGATTCACTCGAATCTACCACTTATTGCCTCATTTGCAGTTCATAGAGAATTGGTAAGTCACCACCAGTTCAACCCTGGAAAAATAAAAACATCACAGGTTTCCAATTGATGCTTTTGAATACTATGTTCGAAAATTGCTCAATTCCTTACATCCTATTGCGTACACATCAACTACGGAGTACAAAAGAGAGGCTTTCTTGAACCAAGATGAGACAATTATTCCTTTAAAATTACAGAGAATAATGGAAAAATGAAAAGACCGGATATTGAAAACGTTTTAAGTTACTACTCTGAAAACAGTGGCTGCTGCAAAGTTTGAAGCTCCTTGCAAGCTATTCATGCTACAATGACAAGAAGAGACTGCATGGAAGGAACAAAGGGTTCGGAATTATTTACGAGTCTACAATAAGTTGTAAGAGAGAGGGAGGGAAAGAGAGATTACCGTGTCCACACTAACTGGTTTACCATCCTCTGCCAGGATCTCGGTTATGGTTCCAGATTGATCAGCCTAAGAAACCACAAAGTAAAAATAAAAGGAAAAATTAAATGGTAAATACAAGGCATCCAAAAATCATTCGATGCTTGGAACAAAGGCACTGTAAATGAGAGAGAATACTAAAGAGACTTGGAGCAAAAAGAGGAGATGCATACTTCAATTTCATTCATTAGCTTCATAGCCTCAATGATGCAAACAACTTGACCTTTCTGCACTTTATCCCCCACCTGTAAAACAACAGTGCATAAAGATAGGAGAAGAGTTACTGTCATAGAACTTAAAGAACATCAGTCTCTTCACATATGCACTTGGAAAATCTTGCAAGGTTTGTCTCTTGGAACACCAGCTCTTAAATGGTATTGTCACTAACAATAAGCACTTACCTTCACAAATGGGGGTTCGCCTGGAGCTGGACTCCGATAAAAGGTTCCAGCCATGGGGCATTTCAGCGGTGGATGAGATGACAAGCTTGCCTTTGCAGGTCCAGGCAAGGCAGGAGCAGGAGATGGAGAGGGGCTTGCAAGAGCTGCTGCCGGTGCTGCTGAAGGGGGAGCAGGATACATTGCATGTGGGTAATGAGGTTCCATTGCAAGAACAGGAGCTGCTGCTGCTGATTGCTGCAAAGCCTCCTTTTTCCTTATTACCAGCTCACAATCTGATTGCTTCAGTTGCAGCTCTGTAATATCTCTTGAATCCACAAGTCTGTTCATGAAGATTATATTAACTCAAAAACAATGGAATAGATGCATGGCCAATCACATAACAGCTAGTGACTTATACGTTTTTAGATATTACAAAATTTGAGTCCGACTCACTTTACAAGTTCTGATACTTGTGTCATAAATGCTGAAATAGATGACACATCAGGAATTTTACTTTCTGTGGGTTCATCCTTTCCCTCTGAAGATGACACTTTGGATTCAGTATCCACCACCAGTGCAGAATTTGAAGATTTCTGGCAAATAACCTTAGATCAAGAAGTAGGCTTTGTAAATAGCTAATGATACAACCTCCCGTGAGTATACAATTTTAACTTCTTGTGTACAACTTACCTCATTCAGCTGTGCCTGCACCTTTATAACAGCTTGCTGTTTCCTGTTAGGCCACTGCATAGGATAACCAAAAATCATTAAACATTCAATAACAAGAAGAAAAAGTTTTTGCGGAGACATTAGCCTCCCGCAAATCAAACAGTTGCACTTATTCTTCACATAATCGCCATATCATATCAACAAAATCCAATCACCAGACAAAAATCTTGACAAGTTAAGGATTGACAATATTGATGTTAAAACACCAAACAAGGACATAATCGCCATATCATATCAACAAAATCCAATCACCAGACAAAAATCTTGACAAGTTAAGGATTGACAATATTGATGTTAAAACATCAAACAAGAGAAAAGCTCCATTTATAGTGATAGAATCAGATACTATTCATTCAGCATCACGACTAATTGACTGGGATGATAAACAAGCTTACATCCAAATTCTGCCGATATAGATTCCATATTCTCCTTTTCAAGTTGCATGCTACATGCTTTCATTTTAAGGTATTATATAAAGAGCACACAAGAGGAATCTATAACCAAAACATTAATTTAAAAACCTGAAACACTGTTTTCTTTCACAAAAATAGACAAAGTTTTCTTTGAAATGCATTAATCCCAGAACAAATTATTAAAGCCCCATAAAAATACCACCACATGAGTGTAAAACATCAAAGATTTAAGCACTCTACACACACAAACAAAGAAAAAAAAACGAGATGAAACATAGAGCAATTCATGTCTTACTCAAAAACTTCATAACGAAGATATAGTGAAAAGCAGCAAATTACTAGAAAAAGAACTGACCTCAAAACCAGAGAATGTGGATCCGATTGAGAGAGATGGGTTCTGATTGGAAGTGGGTGCTCGAGGAAAAGAGATCCTGGGCTGTGGTTGTGAATTTTGAGCATTGGATCCAACAGCAGCAGCAACCAAAACAGTCTTGGGGCAAGGAACAGAGATTGAAGCCATGATCTCTCTCCTCAGAGCAAAAACCAAGAAGGATTAATGTACAAAGTTGTCTTTTTTATTGACAGAAAGATTGATAAAATGCGGTGGGTTGGTGGAGTTTTGTAGGGAAAATGTGGCGATGGGATCGAAGAAAATGTGTGAGAGAGTTGAGGGAAATCTGAGAAACCAAAATAAATTTTTTTTTAAAAAAAAAGAGCTTAAACACAATTTTAAGTGTTTCGATACTTACAAGGAGGAGGAGGAGGAGGAGGAGAGAGGGGGAGAGCATACACACACGTGCGCGGTTTTAGGTTTTAACTAACTAACCCAACGGCACTTGAAGGCGGAAGCCCTCACACATTCCCTACGTAGACACTGACAACAGAGAGAGAGAGAGAGAGAGAGAGAGAGAGAGAGAGTTTTTCCCTCCAACAACTGTAACGTGCACACGACACAGCTGGAATCAAGGTTGTGTGATTTCTGATGTGGATATTGTTTGTAGTGGTCCTCTCCTCTCTATCAATTTGTTTAATTCTATTAAAATGATACGTAAATTATTAACATGCATTCTCATTTCAACTTTTTACGTATCAAAATTAAGTTTTTTTAGGTTAAATAATAAGTGAGTTTAATTCGTATATTATTATTATTATTTTGGTTGTAAAATCTAAATTTAAGGAGACGTTTGAATAATCCAAATATTTTTTATAAGAAATTAATTTTGGCGTGCATGAAAAAACCTGGCTTAAAAATAATTAAAAAAAATGCCAATTTACGTATCAAAATTAAGTTAGTTTATTATTATTATTATTATTATTAAGTATCAAAATTAAGTGAGTTTAATTCTTATATTATTATTACGATTATGATTTATTATTTTGGGTGTAAAATCTAAATTTAAGGAAACGTTTGAACAGTCCAAATCTGTTTAAAAAGAAATTAATTTTGGCGTGCATGGAAAAACCTGGCTTAAAAATAATTTTCTTTTTTTTAAAAAAAAGTACCAATTTACGTACAGCAGCCCTTCGAAACGGCGTCATTTACTCATTTTTCATATGTTTGTTTTCCTTTCCCTTGTGTGTAACTGTGATTAGGAGAACCAAAGCAAAACACAGAAAGAGAACCCTAACCATAGAAAGATGACACACATTAGTGCAAGTCAAATACACATAGGAAAGGTTACATTGAAGCGAGGGATGTACTTGCAAATCGATTCTCATAAAAGAAGCAAACCTAAATATTAGAGTTGGACCACTTGGTCTTTTACAACACAACACAGCTGAAAGCCAGACAGCTCTTTTAAGCGAGAACTAACGAGCAAAACCTTTATGATACAAAATTTGTACAACCAAAAATTTCGGCAAAAACGATTCAATTCAGAAATAAATTGCAAGAAACAAGTACAGATCCAACCTCCAAGGGGACTTTTTGTTCGTTTCTTTCAGGGTACAGGTATTCCTCAGCAAAGGGGAGCAAGATCCCAACAACAATTATTGAAGTAGCTCAACTGCATTATAGCAACATATAAGCGGGCAACCTAGCAGTTGGAACCAAAAAACAAAGCAATATTTTTTGACCCCAAGTTGAAAGCTCAAGTATCAACAAAAAAATTGTAACTTTAACAGCCGAGACATACTAGAGACTGCATTCTTATTATTGTAGCAATGATACCATTACAAGAAGCAAAAACCTCAAAAGAAAAAAAAAATCTAGTAGCGGTTCAAGTATGTCCTGCGTCTGAACCAGTTGTAGTCAGGCAACCCTTGGATGGGACCCATGGCAGCAATTGCAATATCCTGCAAAAACAAAACATTAACACCTCTATCTAAAACTTCCGGCCAGTTCAGTTCAGAAAGCACAGAGGCTGTTTTCTGGCAATTTTTTTTAAGAGAAAAAAGCTTACAGTATTAAAGAAAAAAATATATCTGAGTCATTTTTTTTCAAATGATTAAAATCAGTAAGGATTTCTGTCTTCCATTTAGAATACAACCATATTTCATTTACAAGGTTCATTAACAGGCAAAAGCATCTTCTATCATTAGGATTAACTTTTTGCACACCTAGTTAGTCACTATTTGCGAAACACTTTCCATTTTAACAAATTGATGCATTTTAAAAGTTTTTATAGAAAAAGGAAATAGATAAATAGAAATGGAACTTGAAATGGTAATTTGATTTCTGTAACTAACAGAACCTCTGGCATCAACAAAACCCTTACACCAGGATGCTAATTGATGATCAAGCAGGATCTAAGATACCAATAAGAATTCAGGTATTCGGTAGCTCATACCTGATCGTGAATAAATCGGTTTGCAACACGTTTGATAGTGCTAGCATCAACAGCATCGATCCTAGCAAACAGTTCCGCAAATGGGATTCTTCGACCATAAGTAAGCAGCTGCAACCATATGCAGCCAAAGGTAAGGAAAAATTGATTCGTAACTAAAGTAGACTACAACTCTGATTTCACTTCAAACAAGACTACTCTCACTAGAGTCAATATAGCATAGCTTTTTGAGCTATGATCCTACAACTGTTAATTATAGAAGAATATAAAACCAGAAAATAGAAGTTATAGCATGTTACTAACTACTATTTCGTTTAACATAAATATCAACAACTCAAAGGACTTGGACCTAGTGAAGGTTTTAAAAAGTGGTGAACTTGTGATGTATCATACAAGATAAAAATTGATTAGTAATTTTAGCAGATGATATATGGACAATATATTGGTCATTTTATTTATTTATTTATTATTATTATTTAACACATTGCTTAGTGATATGATATATGTAGTTTGATAGGAAAAAAAAAGGCATAAATTAAAGGAAAAAAAATTCCCTAACAATAAAGTAGCACGCACAAAATAACAGAAACAGATATAAATCACAAAAATATCAACCCATTGAAGTATTCGAGCAACATAAAATAATTTCAATTACAACATATTTGACTGCACGTATATTTTGTTTTCGCCAAGTTCCTTGGTAAAACTGATTAAAATAAATTGAAAACCTTTGCACCAACCAAAAAATCAGCCAGTGAAGGATCAGATTGAAACGTCAAGATATATAATCATTGGAAATAATGTGCTGAGTCAACATGGGTAGCATAACAAGTACTCTTTAGATTATCTCAAACAAATGTGCTGGAAACTACATAAATTAGGACTTGGGTCGTGTAATTTGGGAAACCATTAGAAGTAATAGTAAGGTGTTAAGTATCTCAAGCAGCAAATCTAATAGTATGACTTGGAGGGCTTGTTCAACCTGTCCTAACATTCATTAGCAGACCTTTTTTCGAGGTTAAGTCATACCTGGCGCCCAATATCTTCAGCTACAGGACTACTTCCGTCAATGTGAAGTAGCAAGGAAGATTTCAACTGCAACCAAGCACAAGAGTAAGCAACTGGGTAAGAAAAGATGACTAGATTATAGGGAAAATAGGAGGTTCCATGATCTAATAAACATACACATCAACTAACACATAAGTACTAAAGATATTACAAGGATATAAATGCACGGCACATGAATGATACGGTTTTATGTTGTATAACCCTTTTCATTTTTTTTTAAATGCAAAGAAAATTATACAATGCACTAGTTTCTTTGCATCATATGTTTAATTAATTGCTACTCGTAACTATTTAGACCAAACATTTGTAGATAATAAATTCTAACATCAGTAATAATGATGGAGTTGTCTATAGTTCAAGTAGGAAGTGTCAATCAAGTGCTTACCTATTTAACATTGAAGGCTAATGTTAACTCAAAACAACCTATGGAGCTGTTAAATTTAAGTGGCTCTAAGGTGAAAAGGTCCAGACAATGTAAAAAAGAAAAAAGAAAAAGAAAAAGAAAAAAAAAAAAAAAGGAAAAAAGAAAATCCTTGAATACAATTCCACATTGTATCCTAGCATCCAGAAAATCAGCACAAAAATAAATATAAAATAATTAGCCAGAACTGAGTTACAAGATACCATCCAGCAAACATGTAATATCCACCTCTACAGTAAAACATGAACATTATTAACTACCTGATTACAGGCACGAGTGACATCAGCTTCTGAAACTCGATAGCATAACTTAGTTGTCTCATGCATGATCGCCCAGGCTAAATCATCCAAGCAATCCGGCTGAAAGCAGAACATTAGACAATTTAATTCATTGAAACAAAAGGAAAAAAAAATCTTGAAAGAGAATCCAATCAAAAGGCAAAATGAATTAATTTTCATCTTATATATTATAGCCAGGACTTGCTACATGTACTTCAGCATCCTATGCTTTCAAAGATGAATCGACAGGAAACATATCTTTAATGACTGTAACTTAAATGAGAGAAGGGAAGACATAATGGTGGGCCATATACAAATAATGTAGCATTACCAAGGGAGGTATACAATTTCCAATTATTTAACAGTCAAATGAAATAAGACAGGAAATTGACTTCAACAAAGTCCTCAAAAGATGAATTAGTGAGTTATGCATGGTAGATGAACAAAATTACTTAGGGGGATGGCAGAGAGTTAGTTTTTTATTGTAGGCTATGTGGAAACATTATTCACGTTGTAAGATTCGCTCCAACATTGCTAACGCCTTTTTCATTCCTTGCTCAACTATGCTAAAACTCTAATTTTCCAAACAGTAAGGATGAAAAGAAAAACTGTCCATACCTTCGCAACAGCATAAACACCAAAAAGACCAGTGTCCTTGTAGTTTGTGTTGAAAGCCATCATACTTTCTGCTATTTCATTAATCCCAATCCTTTGTGCTAGTTCAGAACTGTCCAATGATTGAAATTTAATCAATGTGCATGCCAACAAGGCGAAAGGGTCTTTACACAAATACACAACCAGTTAAAGTTCAAAACTTGTCAAGTTGTGGAAAAACAGAGAAAAGAATAATCGTTGAAACATGAGGGGTCAACCATAGAGTCCTATTGGATGTAATGATTGAAATTTCAGTTTTTATGCTTGATTGCTTATAGCACCACCAACACAGCCATTCCATTTGCAGATCATGAGTGGACATGACCTCTGTGACTACAGACCACTTCACTAATTTGCTCTCGGGAGATGTTTGTTTAATAAAATTCCTAATGTGTTAAATGAAGCGTCCCCGATAAAGAATAATTTTTTAAAGATGGACAGCAAGCAACATGGTAAATTAGGGACAGGAAGAGAGGCTACCCCATGTGCTTTCCACCTCCAGCACTCTTGTTCCAAGAACCCAACATAGCCTGCATGACCATCAAAGGAATGGAATCTGGATCTGTCCAAGATGCTCCTTGAAAAGCAACCGCGAATTGTGCCAGAGGAATATCATCATCAATTATCCTAACCTGATTTTTCACAACCATAAGTGAAAACAATACTTTAGAGAAAGGAAACTGCTTAGAAAGATGGCATGGATTTCAAGTTATATCTTTCCACCTCAGAACCAGTGAAATATGCAGGGTCTTTAGCAACTAATTGAGAAGCAGTGGTTGGATCAGATGATAACTTAGTAAACAGCTTTTTTACTTCCCCAACAAATTCATCATGCCTCACAGCTCCTGAGGCGACAATCACCTGAAATGAAAGTCACACAAAGACCCATGACAAAAAATTTCAACATTATGCCTTCAATCTCAATTACGAGCAGATAGGCAAATAGAAATAAGCATTTGAAAAGCCCACCAACTCCATGTTCCACAAAAGTAAAATAAAATAATTCGTTACCATTCTAGGAGCTGTGTAGTGTGTTTGTATATAGTTCCGAAGGTCATCCCTGGATATTGTCTCGATATTTTTAGCAGGTCCCAGAATAGTTCTACCTAAAGGAGTGTATTGGAAAGCAGTTGCATGCAAATGGTCAAAAATTACTTCCTCAGTTTGTCCCTCAACCTACAAATTTCCAGACAACATCTATAACTGTTAGAAGCAGGAAGGAAAAGAAAGTCAATCGGGCAGTATCTATAAAAAAAGTTGAAAACAAACAAACTGAATCTCTGCTGTACCATGTACTGGAAGTGAATACAATACCGACATTTATCACATAAAAATTATCCCTTTTCCTAGCTTTTTGAAAAACAATTGATTATTTTGTTTGGTGCATAGCATAGCAAACCACTCTCGGTATGCTTATAAACAAAGATCCAATTCAGCAAGTTTAAAACTTTATCACAAGACGATAACAGTTAAAAAGCACCCACTAACAAATACATGACCAGGATGCATTTAAGCAAGTTTGAAACTTTGATGCTAAGAACTGACACTTAAAACTACCCAACAACAAACATCACACTTCTACTTCCACAAACTTCATGAAACAAGCACCACAAAAACCAACTAAATGACCCACACTTGTAAACAACATTGTTATCCCTCCTTGTACCTCTAAATCAATCAACGACCATTAGTATTTCTAAATTAAAAACCAGCAAGCACAGCTAACAAAGCAACACTAATTCCCACATACTCAACCAAAAAAAGAACCCTGACAAATCCCATACACCTAAAACAACAAAGACACCAATTTTCGCGACAGTTAAACCCAAAAGCACAAAACTTAACACATAAACAGCCAAAACCCACAACTCCAAGACAAAATTTTAGAAAAATTGAACACCAAACACCCAAAACAACAAAAACCTATTTCCAATCCAACTTCCGACAACTGAAAACCCCCAAATTTACCTCCTTCATTTCCAAAGTGATAACGTCTCTCTCCCTAGACATCCTCTCCTCGTCGAAAGTAGAATTCTGCAAAATATCGGCCAAAATATCCAAGGCCTTATTAACATCTTTATCCATAACTTTAGCATAATAAGTAGTCTGTTCTCTACTCGTATACGCATTCAAATGCCCTCCCATATTCTCAATCTCCTCTTCCAATTCCCTCACACCCCTCTTCTCCGTCCCCTTAAATATCATATGTTCCAAAAAATGAGCAGTCCCATTTGTCTCATCGGACTCAAATCTCGACCCAGCATCAATCCAAACCCCAACAGTAGCAGTCTTCGAAGCAAGATTCGACTCCGTAGCAACACGTAGACCACTAGGTAGGGTAGTGATGCGTGTTTCAGGTGAAGAGAGGATATGGGTATGGCTTTTGAGAGTTGGGTGAGGCGACCCGTATTTGAGAAATCTTGGGTCCGGGTTTTCGAGGATTTTGAGCTTTGAGTTGACCGATTCGGCCATTCGGTCGTAGATCATGGCGGTTGGTGGTGGCGGAGTTGGTACGGTGGCGACGGCGGCATCGGAAAAGGATCTGAAAGTAGTGGCGGATAAGGGCCTGTGAGACCCGCGACCTAGGGTTAGAAGGCGCTTCCAAGCCATGATTTTGGTGTGGGTGTGTTAGGGTTTGTTATTTTTGATAGTAGAGACCTGAGAGAGTCTATGGTAGTGGTGGAGGAATGAGTATTAAAACATGAGGACACGAGGCTTCTGATTTTCATTGAAACGACGTGTCGTTCCAAGCGCGTGTGTATCAATATTAACAAAAGATCAATTAATTAATAGATTTTGTTTACAAGTAACAAAGTGCCTTGAACCTGGTTTAAAATATATATATATATATATATATATATATATATATTGTCATAAGATAAAATTATGTTATAATATAAAGACGATTTAATCTAACAAAAATTCAAAAAACAACATCATTTTAGCTATAAAAAAATAGAAAATATTTTATAAATGAAAAAAATAAAAGCTAAAATTAGTTATGATGTTGCTAGTTTTGAAGAACTATAATAAAACTTATTGTTCTTTTATAATTTAAAAATGATATTATATGTACTTTTTCCTAACAATAATGAACATATAAATCTTAACTAATATATATTTAGAAACCCTAGGGGTTTTACTAAGTTCATGGCAGACATGTTCTTTTAAGATCGTCATAGAGCGATTTAAACTATCAACACATGCTTACATGATAGTAAATAATGGAATTTTTGAAAAATAAAATAAAAACTTAAGCTTGCTTGACAGCAAATCTAGAGGGTAAATTGCTCAAAGCTTGTCTGCATCGTGAGGTTAAATGCAATTGATGGGTGTGGAGGAATGGAGGATGGGGAGTGAACAGCGAACATGAATTTAATCAGATCACGGGTTTGCTCGGCTAAGGGTTTTTTGGGTTCTTTATTTGTTTATTATTGTAATTTACAATTATAAAAGTAGTTTAAAATATATAGTAAGAAAATGTGAGAAAATTTAAATCACTTTTTGACCTATTCTTAAGCCACACCCAAAAGGTGAAGGTTGAAGATGATGGTAGATTTTTTAGTTGATTTTTTTTTTTTTTAATAAGTTATACTTATATTCCTTCCATGTACAAATTATTATTAAAACTCTAAAAAATGTGGAGTTTTAACTGTTTATTTCTCTGTTCGCCATATTGCTTGGAAAGCAAAAGGCTCGGGTTGGCACACTTTTGTTATAGATTTATGCTCTTTTTTTTTTCTTGTTATTTTTTTTTTTTTTTTTGGGTTGCTTAGCCAAGGTTATAGGAAACTTGATTTTTATCCCAATAAAAAAAAAATTCTTGGCTTTTAGTAAAAATTTATGTTCTTTTTTTTGTTCTTATTTTATGATATATTTTTATTTTAATCATTAAAGTTTTATCATATTTGATTTTTATCCTTACTACACTAAAATTAAATATTTTATTATTTTTTATTTTTGTCCCTATAATAAATTTTTTTCTTGGTTTTCAGTAAAAATTTATGTTCTTTTTTATTCTTATTTTTTGATATGTTTTTATTTTAATTATCAAAGTTTTATCATATTTGGTTTTTATTCTTATGATACTAAAACTAAATAAAGTTTACTATCCTAAAATTGTTTTTTGTACTATTCACTCTTTTTTTTTTTTTTTTTCTACCCTCACAATGTACTATTCACTCTTAGGTGTTTTTTTTTTTCACTCTTACTTTTTTTCTTAGGTTTTTTTTAATTTTTAAATTATTTTATTTTGATCCCCGAAATTTTATTACAAGAAATATTAAAAGAAAACGGGAAAGTGTTGTAGCACTTTCCCTGGTCATTCATTGTTTGCCTCTTTTTTTTTTTTTTTTTGGATTGCTTAGCCAAGCTTTTAAAAAATATTTTTTTTCTTGTTTTGTAATATTTTTTTATTTTGGTGATTAAAAATTTATTATATTTTATTTTCTTTCATATAATAAATATTAAAATTTTATTATATTTGATTTTTATCCCTATAATAAATATTTCTTTCTTGGCTTTTAGTAAAAATTTATGTTCTTTTTTTTGTTCTTATTTTGTGATATGTTTTTATTTTAGTTATTAAAATCTTATAATGTTTAATTTTTATCCTTGCTATACTAAAACTAAATATTTTATTATATTTAATTTTTATCCCTATAATATTTTTTTTTTTTTGCTTTTAGTAAAAATTTATGTTTTTTTATTCTTATTTTGTTATATGTTTTTATTTTAGTTATTAAATTTTTATCATGTTTGATTTTTATCCGTGCTATACTAAAACTAAATGAAGTTTACTATCCTCAACCTTTTTTTTTTTTTTTTTACCCTCACAATGTACTATTCACTCCTTTTTTCTTTTTTCTTTTTTGTAATTTTCACTTTTAGTTTTTTTTTCTTTTTTTATTAGGTTTTTTTTATAATTTTTAAATTTTTTCATTTTGATCCCCGAAATTTTAAAATAAAAATTTTAATCCTAGTCGATGCACTATATGCCTTTTCTTTTTTTTCTTTTTCTTGATTTTTTTTTCCATCAATTTATGCTATTTTTTTTATTTAATTGGGTGTTCAAATTTTTAAAAATCAATCGTTATTTTTTTACTACACAAACTTACGATTATATAATATATATAGATCAAATGTATATACTTTAAAAAAAATAATCTTCTCATCAACATTAAATAAGAATAAAATTTTATTTTTTCATTGATTAATTTTTATGCAAGTCTATACATTAATTGTAACTTTATTTTTTTTGAATATATACTTATAAAGCAATATATTTTAAAAGTATTTATGTTTAAATTCTTAATTAATATTTCATGTTTAAATTATATATTATCGAGTTTTATTTAAGAATCCCTAAACAAAGAAAAATAAATCATAATTTTTTAAACAAAGATTTTATGAAAAACACAAAAAATAGTGATAATTAAATAAAAAATTATAAAAAAAATTATAAAATTTTTAAATAATTTTATTCTATCTACTTGTAGCGTTGCGAGGATAATTTCAAAAATTAATTTTCTCATCGGTAACTAATAAGAAATTTTTTTCCCATTTGTTAGTTTTTACAAAAGTCTATATATTAATTATAACTTTATTTTTTAGAATAAAATATTATAAAAAATATATTTTAAATTTTTTTAATTCTTTATTGATAATTTAGTTAAAATCAATTCATAAAGAAGAATGATTTATGTTTTTTTTAAGCAAAAAAATTTATATAAAAAACATTAGAAAAAATTAATTAAATAAGAAATTAAAATTAAATTTTTTTTAAATAATTTTATTCTACCATATCTGCGAGCATAGCGCGAGTAATAGGCTAGTTATTACTATTATCATCGACATCGGCATGTCATGACTCAAGCATCGAGTTAAGAGTTCAAGTCACTCTCACCTTCCCCCCCCCCCCCAAATTTACATTCATCTAAGATGTAGTCTACCTTAATTGAGTTGTGCATTATTACGAGCCTAAAAAGGTTTTAACACTTTCACCATTTTTTAAGTAGGGTAGTTAGAATATCAACACCTTTTCTTTTTTAGGAATAGGGACGATACCTTAACAATTTACTAATAAAAATAGCCAAAAAAAAAAAATACAATGGATAACAAACCAACCTAACCCAAATATACTGGGGAGAGAAAGGAGCCTTATCCCTAAAAACAAGACGACGACTGTAATTACATAACCACATCATATCCTACCTATTAGTGACTTTAACGACAAGTGGTAAATGAGAATAGATTCTAAAAGCAACTATAGTCTTCTAGTGTAAAGTTTAATTAGCCGATCCATCCACCACCATATTCCGCCCATGATTTCCAGTACACTCACGGATTGAGTATGTGTGATCTTATTTTTGCTTAATACCGTATTAACCACCGGTATTGAAACCGATTCAATGATAACTCGAATTTAATTCCAAATCCTTACACAACGAATAAACTATCACAAAAAGTCGGCAGTTCGACCTTTGAAGTTGTACCATCTCCATAAAAACTCGTAAATCCCGCAACAAAGCTACTCGTATCATCTCGGATCACACCTCCTCCCGCACAAAATCCACCCCTTGCCGACCCATCTATATTCAACTTTAATTTGCTTGTAAGGAGCGGTTCCCACTTAAGCCATTTTCCTTTTGTAAATTTCAGCTAAAGCTGGATTAAGACCAAGCTCATGTACCTTCCTTATGACGTACATATTCATAGGTTTTTTTTTGGTATATAAAATACCCATATCCCGTAAGTCAATATTAACTCGACGAATAATGTCAATTGGATTCATCGAGCTTATCCCGATACTTTCTTCGCCATATGCTTTTCCATAACTCTCATAAAATAAAACATTAAAATACCTACTTGGCGTATACCCGAGTGAGTAATGATCGAAGCAATCCAAGTCTCTACATATACCTCCATGGAACCTAAGAAATGTCATAGGCCAAAAATTCTCCCAAAATGTGCCCAAACATCTGCAGCGAGTACTTGACTCAATAAATAGGTACGTTTGGGTCTCCTTCTGTGATTCAAAAAAAAAAAAAAACTAGACACAACTAGGATGCAAAGGTCTTTTATTTTAAAGTTAACCAGGTAAAGCACCACTCGAACCATTTCTACATGAAGACAATCACTCTTGTTGGTGTGTAAGCATTCCATATCCTTTTTTCCCAAGGCCACTTAGATGTTGGTATGCTTGTAGTGGTTCCAAAAGGCCTTTGTTTTAAAATCACCTATTTTGGTCAACCTACAAATCAATTTATCATCATTGCGACCATCAAAATATAAATGTTTTACCTCATCATGATATCTTGCTTGGAATAATAGGTAGAAAATCTATTAATTCTTGAAAAGCCTATCTAATTATGAGTCGAGCATCCATCGGTCGTAGAGACCGTAACGTGGTACCATACTAGTTAATATCCCAAAAAGGTGTAATACCTTTCTTATTATCCATTGACTCACAACCATTAAATTTGATAGTTGGGGGACAACAACTTTCCAAATATATGAGGACGTCCTTGTAGTATTACCCTTGTCCCTATATTTTGCATGGAGGAATCGTGCCCACAAACACGATCCTTACAAATAAGACCATACTAATT